AGGAGACACAAGAGGGTTACCTGAAGCCAGTGCTGGTCGGTTAAGGGGGCGGGAGAAAGCTCTGGGGAGAGGGAACCCCTAAGATTGGATAAAAAGAGAAACGAAGAAACACGTACTCTGGCATTGCTGGGTGCGGGGCAGTTGGCAGTTAACATTTACAGGACAGAGATGGCTTTCGGGAGACAAGGGAATAGGGAAGGGCCTGTGGTCTCTGCTTACACGGGCCCCGAGGGGTCTGGAAAAGGAGATTCCTCTGACAACTCAAAGGTATGTTATCTTAGATGCAAAGACAACAGGCAGGCTCAGTAAGGTAAAGACGGATCTTTGTCGGGGAAGCCAGAGGCCCCGGATGTGCCTACCACGATGACTCATTTTCGTGAAGAATGTTCGTGTTCCGGTCATCCCCCGTGGTTACTTTACGTCTGCGTTCGCAGGGCCTGCCGTGCTGGCCTCCCCTGAGCTCGTCAGGGTTAGTAGGTGGCCCCCTTTTACATCCACTAAGGCTGTGGTCGGCAAACTGTGGCTCGAGAGCCACACATGCAGCTCTTTGGCCCCATGAGTGTGGCTCTTCCTCAAAATACCACGGCCTGGGAGAGTCTGTTTTGCAGAAGTGGCGTTAGAGGAAGTTTAAGTTTAAAAAATGTGGCTCTCAAAGGAAATGTCAGTCGTTGTCCTGCTGATATTTGGCTCTGCTGACTAATGAATTTGCCGACCACTGCACTAAGGTCTTTGGAAAGGTAATTGGTGAAGCGTCTTCAGGTGAGGTCATAGGTCATACTGAACTTAGTGCGTGTCTGCGGCGGGTGCTTCTCCTTTTTCCACGTTCCCGTCCCGCACGGAAAGGGAGGACAGGTTCCTGAGTGGAGGAGCTGGGGATTAAGAAATAAAAGAGCCGAAACCGGTTTGGCTCAGTGGTAGAGCGTCGGTCTGCGGACTGAAAGGTCCCAGGTTCGATTCCGGTCAGGGGCATGTACATTGGTTGCGGGCACATCCCCGGTAGGGGGTGTGCAAGAGGCAGCTGGTCGATGTTTCTCTCTCATCGACGTTTCTAGCTCTCTATCTCTCTCCCTTCCTCTCTATAAAAAAATCAATAAAATATATTAAAAAAAAAAAAAGAAAGAAAAAAAAAGAAAGGGACAAGAAGCAGAAATAGATCCAAAAGCTGGGTGCCGGGTGGGGGCTGTCACCCTGATGGAGGGACAATCAACACCCACCACAGACAACACAGCACAAGTACTGATTTCCAGAGGAGGGGTGAGGGGGTTTAAGGTCAAAGGAGTTTTGGGTGTGCCCAGGTCCTATTCATTCCCTCATTCCTGGGATTTAGACCTGGGTAAGTCAAGGTCCTATTCGTTCCTCATTCCAAGCACATGGATAAAGATAAGAAATCCGTACTGATAACAGACATTTTGGGAGGCTGTTTCCTGGGAACGACCATGCCAGTCACCTCGGACTCAGCGGACATTAATTTAAAGGTCAACCATGTGCATTCCCAAGGGGCCTCTACACGTGCCCTAAACCCAACAAGTGTGTCCTTCTGAGAAGATGAGAGGACACAGAGACACACAGAGCGACAAAGCTGACGCCCCCGTGAAGACAGAGGCAGAGCCTGGAGAGGCTGCGGCAGCCGAGGACACCATGGGGAGCCACGAGGAGGCACCAGGGGCAGGGCTGTCCCCTAGTCTCTCTGGAGGGAGCGGGGCTCTGCCAGCACCTCGATTCCAGACCTGTGGCCCCCAGAGCTGAGAGAGAATGTGTTGCCATTGCTATCAGCCACCAAGTTCCTGGCAATCTGTCAGGGCGGCCACGGGAAACGAACGCACGCAGTAATCTGCGCCTTGACTGTGCGCACCTGGCCACGCCTCTCCGTCTTCATTCATCTTTAGTGGATGCACCCCTAACCTGGACCCAGCTGAGGTCTCCCAGAGGCTGCCGCCCTGGGGCAGGTGGGCCTGGGCTGCCCCAGTGTCGGGAAGGAGAAGAGCACGGGACTTGCTGGACAGATGTGAGGGAGAATGGGATTCACAAATCTACATCAGAGGCTCGTTCGTGGCTAGCTGCCTTAGGAACAGGGCTGGACACGCACACACCGTCCATTCCGTAGTAGCAAGGCAGACGCAACTGCGAGCCAGTTCTCACACCGCCTTCCTGAAATGGGGCCCGAGTCCCGGCTCTACCCCTCCTCCTCGGGCGCTCAGGCCCTTGTATGTGGCCCCTGCCCACCATCATGGCTCAGGACCCAAGGCTGGAACAGCCACTGCAAATGCTTCCAAACAAACAGTCCACTCCTCATCCTCCCCCTTCCTCCTGTCAAAACCATGTCAAGGTCAAAGCCGTCGGGAGGCTGGGCCAGCTGACTAGCTGGCCCGGAGCCTTTGGGGGGAAGAGGGATGGGCCTGAGCTCTATAAATGCTTCCATGGCAGGAACCCCAGGAGAACATGGAAAATCAAAAGGAAGAGCCTTCCCCTGAGAGACCCTAACGGAAGCTTTCTAATCCCTGGAACCTTTGTGTCCCTTTAAGAAAAGCCCTTATTGAGGGCACCTTTGCAGCCTAAGGCACACTACTGTCCACAAATATTGCCAAGTCCTGTTTGACTCAAGGTCATCGTGTGAAACTGGATAGGCGCTCGCCCCCCAAAAGTAAACAGACCTTTCTAGGACCTGCTGGCTGTTTGCAGACTCGGCTCTTCCTCCTTTCTATCTCTCTGGGGGCCTTTCCCCCTCTGAGTCCACCCCACCCCAAATCCAAGCAGGAAGGGCTCTCACAGGCAGCCTCTCCTTCCACCAAAGGAGGCACGGTCCTCTGTGGTTTGACACTACCACCTGTCTCACCTCACTGCAGGCTGCAGGGGGCGCTGCCCTCCAGCTCTCCCCAGCAGCTCCAGGACCTGCCCAAGGCCCATGGGGCACATCACCCACCCCACAGTCTCCTGGGAATTCCTCACTCCACCACACTTGTCCCTGGGTCCCCAAGTCCATGGGCCCCCCCACTCTCCTGGGTCTGGAGATGGTCCCAAGGTCAGGCGAGATTCCAAATTTCCCACGGCGACAGTGTGACAGCGAGAGGACAGCTCGTTCAGAAGTGGCTCCAGTAATTGGCTGGATAATTATGAGTTACAGGAAGCTCTGTTCCTGGTCACCCCAACAGGTCTGGTGACTGAACGTAGGGTAAATGGCACTGGGAGTTTCGGGGGGGGGGGGGGGCGTGGATCCTGTTTCTGGGGACCTGGTGCCACTTTATTTCCCATGGGTCCCGGTTCATTCCCTGGAAGAGAAGGTCCAACCCGAGTGAGGTGGGGCGCGGTTCCCAGTGTGTGACCTTGCAGGGCCCACCCTGCACGCTCCCCCCTCACTCCTCCCCCAATGCCATAGACTTCTTTCAATTTGGGCTTGTTTATAGTCAGTCAAGTTTTTCCAGATTGACTGAAGGAGTTCTCCGTGTGCCTACTGCAGCCAGTTACAGGAGCGGCGAGAGAGCCAGGACTGGGGCCAGCCGGGAGAGGCAGAAGGAGGTGTCTGTGGGGTGCAGACAGCTAAGGAATGACAATCACACGCAACTGTCCTCAACTCCACGTCCCCCTGCAAGGACTCCCTCCTCTGCCCTCCCGAGCCCCTCCGCCAAGGGCATCAACCCGAGGAAATGAAACTGCTGAGAACACGTCTTACTTCTCCTTTCTGTGTGTGTCCAAGGGTTAAAAACACTCCCAAACTCCCCTTCCAAGGTCAAGCAGCTGTCCAAACCACCCAAGGAGAAGCGGCAGTCCCCCCTCACCCCCCCTGATGGGCCAGGACCCCCCCCCCCCCGCGGCCGGGGAGGGAAGAGTTAATGGCGATCAGCGTTGGCTGATAGCTCCGGCTCCAAAGTTCAGTCGCAGCCCCAGCCACCTCGGAGGAATTGTAAATCTCAGGGCAGCGTTTAGCAAAACAAAAGCAACCTGGAATTGCACGCAGGTTCGGGTTTTCTACATATTTACTTAATCTCCTAGGTATGTGGCCCCCTGTCAGATCAGCTGGCTTGTGCCGGGCCCTTTCACCCCCTCCTGGCTCTCCACAGTTTAAGTTTCAAACGAATTCTCTGTTTTTTTGCTCTTCCTCTTCGCAGCGCTGGGTGAGTCAGCCTGGCTCGGGCTGGAGTTGGGTGACAGCCGGCTCACCCTCCCCACTCCCCAGCACCAGGTCTGGGGAAGCTGGAGGAAGAGGTGCTGGGACTCCCAGAAAGTTACAGGGATCCCCTCCCAGGCTGTATTGGGGGGGAGGGGGGGCAGCAGGGTGGAAGGTAAGAAGAACAAGGGCTCTTTATCAGCTGCCGGTTCCCCGACCCCCTCTCTCCAGATTTCCAAACACCTGGGCCTCCCAGCGCCTGTCCAGCCAGGATAGACCATCAAAGACCACCCCCCTCCTTTCTTCCCTCCCAAACCCAAACCAAGTCTCCTCTCTCCCCGTGCCTCCAGCGCCGCAGCCGCCCAGGTCGGGCCGGGGAGCGGGGTTGCCAAGGAAAACACGAAGTGCCAGCAAGCAGCCGCTGGCTCCCAGCTCGCCCAGCAGCGCGCACACACACCCTCCGCTCGCCGCGGCGGTGGCCCGGAGGGGAGAAGCGAGGAGGGAGGGGGGGGGACGCAACACCTTCCCGGGGAGGGAGGGAGGCATGTGGGGAATGGGTGGGTCTCCCAAGTTTCGGGGTGGGGGCGACCAGCTTGCCAAGCCACGGAGCCCTCCGGGGGCAGAGCAGCCCGGGACCTGCCAAAGCAGACAGTCCGGGGCCGGGGAATGGGAAACGGACGAGGTGAAACCGACGAGCTCAGCGTTCGCGGGCGGCGGGCGGGCGACTGACTCTCAGGTCCCGGGCGGGTGCGGGTCCGGGCAACGGCGGCGGCAGGTGGGCGCACCCCCTCCCTCATCGGCACCCTCCCCATCCCGCCTCCGATCCCCTGATCCCAAGCAGCCTCGCCCCCCCCCCCCCCAACACCTCCACCCGCCGGCCTCGCAGCGCCCCCCGTACCTTCCGGGCGCCGCGTTCTGCGAACTCGCGGGCGAGCTGGCGCCCGATGCCCCTGCCGCCGCCGGTGATGAGCACGTTCTCCCGGGACAGGTCCCGCAGCCTGGCGGGCAGCACGCGCGCCACGGCCGCCTTGGCCACCAGGTAGAGCATCTGGAGCGGGAACAGCACCAGCGCGCCCAGCCACTTCCACCCCATCCTCCGCCGCGCCGCGGGCCGGGCAGGGCGGGGGGCGAAACTCCCCGCGCCGCCGGGCAAAACAGGAATCGAAAAAAAGAAGAAAACACCTCTCCACAAACAATAATAAATACAACGGGACCGGGAGTGGGGGGAGGGGGGGGGCGGAGAGGCGTCCCACCTGGCCGCTCCGGAAACCACCTCTCCCCGAGTGCACGGCACCGGGCGAGAAAAAAGAAAAAGAAAGGAAAAAAGGAAAAAAAGATAAATCCTCCTGGGGAGGAGGGAAAAAAGCGTCTGCGAAGGCCGGGACCGTGAGCGGGGCGGAGGGGAAGCCGGAGGTGGGAAGTTCTAACAAGAAGTTGCTTGCCCCGGCGGCGGGCGGCGGGGGAATTCGCAGGTAAATGTTTACCGGGGACGGAGCCCGGGCGGAGGGAGGGGGGAGAGGGCACCAGCCGCACGCGCGCACCCTGCCACAGCCCCGCGGTTTCAAAGTGCAAGATGGAAAAAAAAAAAAAAAAAAAAGAATCTGTTTCCAAATTGGTGCGCTTCCCCACCCCTTCTCCAGGAAGGGGGGGGGGGGAAAGTGGGGGGAAAAAAAGTGCTTGGAGCTCCCAATGTCAGCCCGCGGCAGCCGCCCGGCTCCCGGCGAGGCTCGGGCTCAGGAAATTGCCTAAAGGCGCTCCGATGGCCAGCGCCGTGCAGCCGCCGCAGCGGCGGGGGGTCCGGGTGTCCGTTTCTCTCCGCGCAGGGCTCGCCCTCGCGCGCGCCCGCCCGCTCTCCTCTCCGGCTCCCTCCCTCCTTCCCTCTCTCGCTCCCAGCCGCCCGGGCTGGGAGTTGCCGCCCGATCCGGCTCGCTTTCTCTCCCTCGTTAGCATGTATGGCCTGCTCTTTTTTTTTTTTTTTTTTGGTCCTTTTTCAACTTGGAGAGGGCCCGGCTGCGGGAGCGCGTGGCCCGGACGCCCGGGTCCGCGCCGCCTGATTCATCCGCTCCCGGGGCGCGCGGCGGCGCGCCGGGCTGGAGGGCGGCCGCCGTGTTTCCCCCCATTTTTTTTTTTTTTTAATACCCCATTAAGTCTGATTGACAGTTAAAGTTGGTCGGAGGCTTCTCGCCCCGTGCCTCTGACTGGCTGCCGCGGCTTCCCCTCCCCCCTGCGCGGCCGCGGGGGGAGCGCGCGCGGGGAACGCGGGAGCGCGCGGGGGGGGGCGCGCACACTTCACTCCGCCGCGCGTCCTCCCTCCCCGGGCAGCTCCCCTGTCTGCAAGCCGGGGCTTGCCGGCGGGGCCTCTGAGGGCTCGCAGCTAGAACTCCAACGCGCTGGGACCGACTCCTGCGAACCGGCTCCCTCGTGGAGACATTCCTCCCGGTTCCGGACGCGGTCCCCGGAGCGGGGGTGCCTGGGGACCCCCTGATCGGGGCAGGTCCGGGGGAGCTCGCCCATGCCTTGATCTAACCAGGTCCCCCAGGGTCTATGTCAGGCCGTTTGGCCACACACACACACACACACACACACACACACACACACACACACCCCAGCCTGCAGGTAGGACCAGGAAGCCACTCCCGACCTTTGCCCAGACGTCTCCTGTCTCCACTTGGCGTGCGCTTTCCAAAGCCGCGCCGGGAGCCCCGCGCTGATGGGGGAAACAGCTGGGGAGTCTGCTGGAAAGGGGTTTGCTGCGGGGAGAAAAGGTGGGCAGGGTAAGGAACTCTGCCCCCAAGGTGCCAATAAAAATCCCCATAAGATTAGGTGGGAGCGTATTTATGGCTCATCTGGGCTAGAATTACCGTGACTGACAGCAGTTTCCTTAATCACAAAAGCCTGTAAACAAACCGTCCTGAGCCGGTGCCCCCCGTGCCGCGCTGGCTGGCGGCGCCTTCTCTCCGTGGGGCTCCGTGGGCCGCCCTCGCTGGCTGGGCACCCACCCTGGAGCCTCCTGTCTCCCCCCTGCTCCCCCCAAGACCGTCGCCCCTGCTGGAGGGTGGGACCCAGCTCTGCAGAGCTGTCTGTTGCAGGAAGTCTGGGAGGTGACTCACTCAGAAGCAGCCCCAGTTAGAAGTGCTGATGGGACTCGCTTCCTGCGGCCCCCACGGGCCCCCGCCAGGAGGAGTGAGGGGGATCGGGGGAGCTGCCCTGCGATCTGGGGCAGCGGTTCTGCGGGCAGGTTTGTTCGGGCTACCCCGTCCCACGTTCCCTGGCCAATGCCGAGGACCCTGGGAGGACGTCTTTGGGAGCTAGGCTGATTTGGGGAGAGGTGGCTGGGGTTTACCTCCTCTTCCGCTGCAAAGACACCCCCCCCCCCCCCGAGTTCCGGGGAGAATCTCTGCAGGGGAGGATCTTCCAGGTGAACTGAGGGACTCTTAACCGGGAAGCAGCTGGGAGAGCTTGGGAGTGGGTTTGGATGAGAGACCTTCTGTCCTACACAGAACGCATACATGTGGAATCTAATGAACAGAGAGGTCCAGAGACCTGGAAGCATGGAGCTGACTGACGGATCTCAGAGGGAAGGGGCGAGGGTGGGTGGAAGAGATTCACCAAAGAACTTATATGAATGTATGCGTAGTTCATGGACACAGAGAGTGGTCCCGTGAAGGCTTGGGGTGGGGCAGGAATCAGGTGGAGGGGGGCAAAAGGGTAGAAATGGGGGGACATCTACAATACTCTCAACAATAAAAAATAAAAATTTAAAAATGCTTATCTTCTGACTATCTCCCATGGACCATGTAATTAATGGGAAAGCATTGTCCCCATTTGTCAGGTTACCCTGCCAGGAAGTGCAGGAGGGAAGGATCTAGACCTGATTTGTCTTCCCACCCACCCCATTGGGGCAGGAGGGAGGAGAGAGGGGCAGGATGAGGCTCCCTCCGGCCTCCATCTGACTCTCCAGAAGTAGGACCGAAAGGCAGGCCGTTGCCTTCATCCAACTCCCAGGCCATGGCTCAAGTCAGCACTTGGTTAGAGTGATTGCTAACTCCTCCTCGGAGGGAGGTCTGTAAAAATGGAAAAGGAATCCCACCCCTGGAGAGCCCGGCCCTTCCTACCAGGCCATGACTGGTGTCTGCCAGGCCTGCCAAGAAGACGACTCAGAAAGTCTGGAGCTGGAAGGGGTGCGCTCAGCCTGGTCTCATCTGTTATCCTCGGGGCCACCTAGTGGCCGGAGTGCGGTATTGCTCCCGCCTCCCCCTTTTCTGCTAAACCCTCTAAGCTATCCCTTTCCTTTCAAGCCTAAAAAGGCTCCTGAAGACCTTACCTCCAGGCCCCCACCCACCCACTGCTTTATGGGGAGACTGAGGCACAGAGGTGTTCAGCAGCACATACACACAGCAGCGTGCTCACCTAAGGCCCCTGATCTCCAGCCGGTGCAGATGCCAACCAACCTGGTGAGCAGAGTCCTACCTACATTTTCTCCGGGCCCGTGTCTGCGGGAGGAGGAGGCGGAGAACCCAAACTGACTGTAACCGTACCAGGCCTCGTGCACAGAACCTCCTCACAGCCCGAGGAGGCGGGTGCCGCTGGGCCATTTTCTGGGAGGAAACGGAGGCTCAGCAAATCTGAGGAACTCCTGCCAGGCCACACGGGCTGCCCGCCTCTTACTTCTGCAGACCACCAGGTTCGGGTGAAATCAGAGTGAAAAGCAACGGCAGGCAATCCTAAAAGGAGTTGGGTTGGTTTCTGCTGGTTCCACCTCCAGGGAGTGGGTTTTGTGGGCCTCGTTCCCCTGGGAGCTTCAGGCCTTGTTTGCCATCGATGCCCCGAGAAGCACTGTCACTTCCTCTGAGTTCCCCCCTCCAAGTTCTCAAGGAAGAGGAGGGCGAGGGGTGCTGGCTGGGGTGCACCATTCTCGGCCACACAGAGGGTCCCTGGGCTTGGCTCCACGGAGAACTGCAAGGGACCCGAGCCTGCTGCCCTCCCCTCGAACCCTCTCCCCCCACCCCAGGTCCTTTGCTCCTGGTAGCCCCTCCCCCCTTAGCCTCCTTTGGGGCTGGGGTTGGGGGTGGGGGGTGGGGAATTTAACTCCAGGGTGAAGTTTGAATTTCAAATCCCAGCCTGGAGAGCGGGCCCCACAGCCTCTCCCCACCACCCCCTCCCGCCCCCCAAACGTGAAAGGAGCCTTTGTGGGCTTGAAGGAGGAGGGAGGAGAGGTGCAGCCTGAGGAGCTAACTGTTTCCATGACTCAGCCCGCCCGGCCCAGGGAGGTGTGAGGACTCGGCTGGGCGGGCGGGAGTGCCGTCTAGCCAGGCAGCCAGTTCCAGGATTATAGGTGCACACCCCAACCCCACCCACCCAAGAGAGCCACCTGGGACCTGCAGGGAACTTACTGGCCCTGGATGGGCCACGAGGCTGTAACCAGTCACCACTCCTCGCCCCCTCCCCCCCCCCCCAGGGCCAAGCCCTATTTTTTATTTTATTTTATTTTTTACTTACTATTGCATCCCCAGGGCCAAACACATGTGAAGCCTGTTAAACAGGCCCTTTCCTCATTAGCATCCCAGCTGAGAGCTGGAAGTAAATGGGTCTCACGCCTTGCCTTCTACCTTTACTTACCTGAGGCTTAGAGGTGTTCAGAAAGTCCTTCGAGATCTCAGGGCTGAGAGAAGGAGGTGGGAATTGAACCCTGGTCAAATGCCCAGCTCTGTCTGTTTTATCCTTGGGTTGCTCTCGGAGCACATGGGACCCCCAGGGAGCCTGTCAAAATGCAGGTTCCTGGGCTTCCCACCTAGACTTCTGGGACTAGCATCCTGATAGTGGTGGGGAGGGCAGGGATCCGGGGACAGGTGATTGTTCTGGAACCTCCAATGACCCCTCCTTGTTTCCAGCCCTGCACACAGGACACATCCTAAGTGCGAAGGAGGGAAGGGCACATGAGGGGATCAGAGAGGCAAGGAAGCCTCTCCATCAGCCAATCGGCCACCACCTGGGCAGCCTCCTAGGGCTGGGAGGCCAGTCCTCACCGGGGCAGCCCCCCCAGGGGCTGGGAGGCTAGGGCATTGAGGCAGCTGTGTTAGAGAGCACCACATG